TCCACCTCCGTCTCCATCATGGGCTCAGAGCTGAGCCTTTACTCAGCCACTCCCCTCACTGCCACTGCTTCCACACCAGCCTGCTCTCAGGCTGACCGCTGTCACCTCTGGCTTTGTTAGATTTTAAAAGAAAAAAAGCAAAAAAAAAAAGCAAGAAACTATCATTTCCTAAGGACCTACTATAGCCAGGCTCCATCAACCCTCCAATCACCCCATGAGGCAAGTGTTGTCATTATCTCCATTTTAGAGATGAAAAGATTGGCCCAGAGCACTGTGTTTATTTGCCCAAGCCACACAGTAACTGGCAAGCTCTTAATTACCAGGCTGCCTCCCAAAACAGTGAACTCTTACTAACAGCATCTTTTCCATCTTTTCTCCTTTAGGTTCATGTTGCCCCTGCTTTCTACCCAGCAATGCTGGTGGACATGGGGTACGTATACTTCACCAACTCCGTGCTTGCCATCCTGCCCTGCAACCTGAGGCTAAACATGATTCAAAGGCAGGACTCATGCAAAGCCAGCGGGTTGTCAGCATCTACCATGGGCCTGGACCAGCTCTCCACCTAGGGACTTAAACTCATGCAAGAAGGGGCTCAGGCTTCTCCCATCCTCAGCGCAAACTGTCCCCATATTTTAAGGTCTAGCAGCCACCAACAGTGCCCAGATTCCTCTGGGATAAGCAATGATGCATGAGTGCGCCTGCGAACACCTGAGAGCAACATAATTCAAGAAATGCAGAGGACGCGCTGTGTGAGGTCCCTGAGATAATTGAAATGGACTCATAACTCACCAGCCACCCGGGGAAATTGTATCACTTTGCACACTATGATTCCGTAGCTTGAAATCAAATCAGGGGAACATGATCAGATTTCTAATTTGGAACCTTGGACACGCAACGTCATCTTTAATGACTCCTGGGGCAAAGGATGCTCATTACAGATCTCAGCCTACTGAAATTAAAATATGAAACCTAAAAATTAAGCAGAAAATTTCCAATTCCTCGGGTCCATAAGGCCACAGAAAAATCATACCAGCAGGAATACATATACTCCTTAGGGTTTTGTTATGCCTACAAATATTTAAACAGAAATATAAGAAAGAGCAGAGCTAGAAAAAAAATAAACAAACCATCAGAGACCCTAACCTTTAGGTTTGGGCCATCTGGGTGAACAGCAATTTTTCATGACCAAAGTGAACTATCATGTCAGGCAACATTACCCCTCTGCTGACGGCCAATTTCATCTATGATGTACAACTCAGATTCCCCTGATAGGGTAGGCTGCCGCCTCAAGTCCTCTCTCACTGCTGAGAGGACTGAACGACAGTGCAATCAGTCAGCACCCTGCCCAGGGTGTAAGGCTCCTTTAAAATGGGAGGCTAAATATTCATCTCTCATCATCACTTCTAAACCCCATTCAGGGTGGACTTTCTAGAAGTCTGCGTAATCATGAAATAATCTCCAGAGACTGTTTTGTAATCTCTTTCCTGAGTTATGGGTCCATTTCAATGATCTCAGGGACCTCCCCAACCTCCCTGTCCTTTGTGTCACTGGTAGGAGTGGCTGCCAAGGCCCAGCAAAAAGGAGCATTTCCAGCTTTCACATCTGCTCCTGACCCCATTTTTTACAGACCTGAACCCAGGAAAAGGGAGCAATTTTCTGTATGCAGTGAGGCCTCAACAGGTGCCCCAGAAATATTAGTGTAAAGGTAGGTGTAAATAGAAATTAAAAACTCAAAACTTCATTTTCCCTTGACATGCATTCTTGCAGAGGAAAGTTAGAGAGAGGGGGCCAGGGGAAGTGGAGGGTTATGCTACCAGCCCCTGAACATGAACATGGTATACCTCCTCCTAAGGGTCAAGGAGAACCTGCAAATAACACAAATGATAAACTATGAGGTTTATTCTTTTATCAATTAAAAACCACTCTTGCCCAGCCAGTGTAGCTCAGTGGTTGAACGTTGACCTATGAACCAGGAGGTCATGGGTCAATTCCCAGTCAGGGCACATGCCCGGGTTATGGGCTCAATCCCTAGTGGGGGAGGGGGTCATACAGGAGGCAGCCAATCAATGATTTTCTCTCATCATTGATGTTTCTATTTCTCTCTCCCTTTCCCTTCCTCTCTGAAATCATTACAAATATATATATATTTAAAAACACCACTTCTTCTGAGCCTTAACTTGTGCACTGCAGCTCAGAGAGACTTAAAATCCCTTCCTGCCTGGCCACCGTGACTCAGTAGTTGAGCGTCAACCTATGAACAAGGAGGTCATAGTTCAATTCCTGGTCGGGGCACATGCCTGGACGGGCTCAATCCCTAGTGGGGGTCATGTAGGAGGCGGCCGATCAGTGATTCTCTCTCATCATTGATGTTTCTATCTCTCTCTCCCTCTCCCTTTCTCTCTGAAATCAATATATATATATATACATATATATTTTTTTAATCCCTTCCTTAATCCAGTTACTTAATGTGGAATGGCCACTGTGTAAAAAAAAAAAAGAAAAAGAAAAAGAAAATGAAAGAAAGAAAGAAAAGAAGGCCTAGGTGTTGCTAAGTATAATTGGTAGACCAGAAAACCCTTCAAGGAACTAAAACAAATGTGAAGGGAGAGGGGAGTCTGCGGCCATGAATGGTAAAGGAAGCCAGGATCAAAGTTGAGGTCACTCCCTGTGAAGACCATGTGTGTTATTTCATCACATGTCCTCGTGAGCCTTTCCCTTGGAACCAATCACTCCCAGGGGTCACCCCAGAGCCTCCCCCTGAGAGTCACTTTCATTATTGCTCTCTTGCCCACGTGTAACTGAGAGGGAGGAGAGCGTTTTAACAACCTGGGACTCCACTAACCAAGAGTGGCAGAGGTCTCGGCAGACCTGCTCTCTCAGCTCTGTGGTTTGTATAAAACTGAGGGTCTTGGACAAAAAACTAAGTAATAAGTTAATTAATTAAAACAATAAAGGACAAGAACAACCAATCTTAAAGTGAAATACAGTCAACTGTCTAAATTGCTTCTTGTGACTGTCAGTGGGCTGGCATTTATGGACAGGGAGCCAGGAGCCTGGGGCCAGCGTGCCTGCCCAGAAGTCCTAGTTTTCTATGATGCCAGCAGACACTGGGGAGGCCCTTTAAAAGAATGAGCTTCCCAAGAAATGCATTAGTGCGAGCATTCACACCAAGTAGGCAGAGGCAACGGCTAGACGGATACCAGGCACTTGTGGAGTGGCCCCAAATCATGCTGAGCCCTGACCCATTTATTCAGTAAATTACTTTCACAACTAGGTCAAATGTTAACAGAGCCTTCCAACCACTCCCTGGCCCCCTGGCTGGAGAGAGCCCCTTTGCTAACCTTGCCATTAAAACTGGGCAACCTATGATATTCAATAAAGTAATTAAGGACAAATCCAAGCAACTACTTGGCATTTCCTGCAATAACCAGATGACATTTGTAATCCCAAAAAGCAAACTGGACCCAAAAAAAAATGTGTTTTGTTCAAAGGCGTAAATAAGTCTAGCATCCTATGTGATAAAGAGGCAATGTGCAAATTAACCCTCATGTCATAACGTCGTCACAAGATGGCAGTGCGTACAGCGGGGGTGGGGCCAACGGTAGCTCCACGCAGCTTCCACCAGGGTTCCTGTGGCCTTGCGGGGGTGCGGGGGTCCCGGCCGCTTTGTGCGACTTCTGCCGGGGTTTCCGCAGCCTCGCGTGTGTGCCGCGGGGGTGGGGCCCGCGGCTACTGCTGCGTGCAACCCGGAGGCGGGGCATCAGGGCAGCACTCCAGGACTCAGGGCCATCCCATGGCAAGCGGGCCATGTGGGGTGGGACTCCGGGACTCAGGGCGGTCCCATGGCATGGGGGGCGGGTCTTGTGCGATTTTGCACAATGGGTCACTAGTCTATAGTAAGTGACTATGGGAAACCAGGATGTTGGGTACTAGCCACCCCCTTTCTAAGAGCAGCAATAGATATGGCAACAGTCACTGAGCCCTTCCCTTACCTGTGTCTCAGCTCTTCTGCCTACAGGAGTGAACTATAAGATGAGCCAAAATGGCAGCTCTGAGCCTGGACAAGACTATGGTGAGGTCAACGGAGGCGCCTAGAGAGCAAAACTGAAGCGGCATGGACTCCCTGGAGGTTTGCTTTCTAAAGGGATTCTTTGCCTCCTTGAGGGATTTGCAAAAGAATTCTTTAGTAGCTAATTTCCAATTCTTTTGTGCACAGATCTTACAGAGTACTCCTACTGGGCAAAGTGAATTACAACATACTGGAAGGGAAAGAAAAACAAGAGGCCAGCAAGGTCACCTGGAGGACAACAATCAGAAACAACAGAGTGCTAAGGGATCTTTCCCAAGGAAGATTCCAGGCCAACGTGGGGGTATGGAGCACAACCAAGAAGAGTAAGGAAATGTAGAATAAGCATCTATCTACCCATGCGCACCAAGTATAGGAATAAGGTAAGGGTGAAAGCTAACACTGGTTAGCATCTACTATGTGCCAGATGCTTTAAATGCCTTAGCTTGTTTAGTCTTCACAACAACTCTTGGAAATGGGTATTATATTATTATCATTTAAGAAACAAGAAATGGAAACTGAGAGCGATTTAGTTCATTGACCCAGATCTTAGAGCTAGTAATTGCTGACAATGGCCCACGCTATTATCCTGAGTCTATTCTCTTACTGGACAGTCCCACATATACAAATGTCATTCTCAGCAATAAAATAATCACTATCTACCAGCATGTCCCAAGCTAGTAAGGAAGCACTTTAGACATAACCCTTGATGCGTTTGTCCAGCCTCGGTGACATACTTTCTCATCTCACATAGCATCACAGCCTGACAATATTTTCAAGAGGTCATCCTCTCAGATGAAGAAACTGAAGTGCCAATTGCGGCTTCAGTGAGGGGCAGAGACAGGAAGGTGGCCCACGCCCTCTAGAGCTGACCAAGCCACGGCGCCTCCACGGGACCTATCATCACCCCTGAAGGGCTTAAGAAACCACTGACCTCCACATGCCCGTGAAACTGAACATCGTGCTGACACAGCGAGGGAGAGGCGGCGGCGTGAGTCCATCCAGGCGCATGAGCAGAGCTGGGATGCCAAAGAGCACCAGGTACTTCACGTAGAAAAAGAGCACCTGGGCCAAGGCCAGTCCTCCTGGAAGACAGAGGGACCCGTGAGACACGGCGACAGGAAGTGGAGCCATCTCCTGGCAAAGATGCAATATTCCAGGAGATGAGCCTCCTGCTCACCTTCCGCCACCCACCCCCTTCTTCCCTTCAGCACCCACATTTATAAAGTCTCCCATATTGGTTTTGATCAGGGAAACTTTTGGATTAACAAATGAGGTGGGGGCCCAGCCAGCATGGCTCAGTGGTTGAGCGTCAACCAATGAATCACAGAGTCACGGTTCGATTCCTGGTCAGGGCACATGTCTGGGTTGTGGGTTGGATCCCTAGTGTGGGGCGTGCAGGAGACAGCCGATCAGTGATTCTCTCTCATCACTGATGTTTCTAGCTCTCTCTTCCCCTCTGTCCCTCTCCAAAATCAATAAAAATATATATTTTAAAAATAAAATTAAAAATCAACAAATGGGGTAGGGAACACCCAATGCAATATACAGATGATGTATTCTAGAACTGTACACTTGAAGCTATATAATCTTATTAACCAATATCACACCAATAAATTCAATTAAAAAGAAAAAAGCTATAAAATAAAGTAAAATAAACAAACACAAATACAAAATTCCCTTTATTATTGTGACAGGTGATAGGATCTCTTAGCAGTCATGCTTCGGCAGATACTAGAAAAGGGCTCTAAATATATATATATATATATAGCCTTTAAAAAAAACTATTAGAAAGGGAAAGTCCTTCCCAATTCCTTTCAACCTTACATAAGTTCACACCCAGTCAGATGATGAGAATCAAAGAGTTAAATCAACAAAGATTAGCAAAGATGTGAAGATACTGGGACCATTGTAGACTGCTAGCAGGATGTAAAATGGTGCAGCCACCTAAAAAAACAGTTTGGCAGTTCTTCAAATGATTAAACACAGTTACCATATGACCCAGCAATATACCCAAGAGATATGAAAACAAATGTCCACACAGACACCTATACCAAACATTCATAGCAGCATTGTCCACAACAGCCAGAAACTGGCGGGAAACAACAACTGTCCATCAACAGTTGAATGGATAAACAAAATGAGCTCTACCCACACAATAGAATATTATTCTGCCATAAAAAGGAGTGGAGTGCTGATAAAGGGTGTCCCAAAATTCACGCAAGAAGTAATTTTGATAGAAAACACAGGCTTATAATTAAAAATTGTAAATTTTTTATTGATTCATAAAGTATACAGTATAGGGTTATGTAGGGAATAGCACAGTGGGTAAATGGCCTCCACGGCTTTGCTGGCACATACGCACTCTTTTGTTGAAATTTTCCATGACCGAAATGCGGCTGCTCAGGCAGTAACAGTTAATGGTGCTCGCTATCGCGACATGATAATCCAGTTTTTTGTGTCATGGAGGCCATTTACCCAATATGCTATTCCATACATAACCCTATACTGTATACTTTATGAATCAATAAAAAATTTACAATTTTTAATTATAAACCTGTGTTTTCTATCAAAATTACTTCTTGCGTGAATTTTGGGACACCCTAGAAACAAATGCATCCACAACGTGTCACTGTTTGGTGCGGATTTGGGCTGGAGGCACCATCGGACGATTCTTCTTCGAAAATGCAGCTGCTCAGGCAATAACAGTTAATGGAGATTGCTATCACGACATGATAATCCAGTTTGCTATTCCATACATAACCCTATACTGTATACTTTATGAATCAATAAAAAATTTACAATTTTTAATTATAAGCCTGTGTTTTCTATCAAAATTACTTCTTGTGTGAATTTTGGGACGCCCTTTACATGCTACGACATAGATGAATCTTGAAAACATTATACTAAGTGAAATAAGCCAGAAACAAAAGGCCACATGTTGTATGTTTTCATTCATATGAAAGTCCAGAACAGGGACACCGAGACAGAAAATGGATTAGTGGTTGCTAAGCACTGGGTTGGTGATGGGGGTGGGGTGGGGATGGAATTATGGGAGGGTGGTAGTTAAAGGATCGGGATTCTCTTTTGAGGTGAAAATGTGCAAAAACTGGCCATGATGATTGCACATATCTATGAATAAACTAAAAGCCAGGAAGAAATCAGCTATATGTTTCTGCTTGAATTTTGATGCTTCAGTGTAATTCACTTTGCCCAGTAGGAGTGCTCTGTAAGATCTATGCACAAAAGAATTGGAAATTAACTCCTAAAGTATTCTATTGCAAATCCTTCAAGGAGGCAAAGAATCCCTTTAGAAAGCAAAGAATTGCCTCCATAATGTAGCCAACAAATTCAGAGCTTCATACTTCAACTTTGCCTAAAAGAAAGATACACCGATTTTATGTCATCCAAGAAGTTATCTGTACACTAAGTTACCCGGGCACAACAAATATGGCAGTGTTTTAAGGAATGTTGGGGTTGGAGGGGTGGGGGCGGGGAATAGTTGGTGTTTTAAATAACTGGTGCAACTTGCTACCCTTTACAATGCCACATTGCCAAGCAGGCCTCTCTCCCACTCCGAAAGCATGCACCGTGAAATTATCTCACCCCACATGGAGTATCTGTAATTGAACAGCCAAGTTCACGGTAGTAAATCCCAGAGTAGCTCTGGGTTCATTCTGCATTAATTTTATATAATCTCAGGATTCTAACCCAAGGAGAAATTGTATAAAAATTCTTTTTTTCTACTGTATCTTAACGAACATTAGAATGTTTGATGCCGCCAAAGAGTGGGAAAGGAAGAGAATCGTATGCTATCTGACATTTGTTTGTGTTTCCAGTTTTCAAAATAAACATCAGATGTCAAATGTCTTATCCTACTCCCCTCACTGGGATGTAGAAGGAGAAAAGGCAACTGGCTGACTTTTTTAGCATTTCATTATCCAGACATTATCTCAACAACAGCTGGTGTTTAAACACTGAGCTGAAAAGCCCCCTGACTACACCCACTTAGGAGATAGGTTCCTAAAACTTAACTCTAATGTACATCCTCAGAGCTTTATTCTAGCTTTGCCATGTAAGAACAACTACTTTTCCATCATTTTCACCTCCCCCCTCTTCACTCACTCTCAAGCCCCTTGCCAAAGCTCTTTTGATTCCCATAAAACTCATATACCATGGTGAAACACCATTTAATAATGAATTTTTTTTAATGTCGTCTTTTTGAGCTCCTTCAAAAACAAAACAAAACAAAAACACCCTTGCCTGGCCGGCGTGGCTCAGTGGTTGAGTGTCAACCTATGAACCAGGAGGTCACAGTTCGATTCCCAGTCAGGACATATGTCCAGGTTTCAGGCTCAATCCCCAGTGTGGTGCATGCAGGTGGCAGCCAACCAATGATTCTCTCTCATCATTGATGTTTCTAGCTCTTTCTCTCCCTCTCCCTTCCTTTCTGAAATCAATAAAAATATATTTTTAAAAAACACACATAAATTAACACCTGAATCCTAGGCTCTATCAAGTTTGGGGTATAGTTACCCCATATTTTGTCTCTTTATAAGACTCTGAAGTTCAAAAGAAAACAGTGAGTGGAAACATATACATTTGTCTAAAGCCGTAGAATGCACAACACCAAGAATGAGCCCCAATGTAAACATCATGATGTGTCAATGTCGGTTCATCAGTTGCAATCCTCTCTGAGGGAGGATGCTGACAGTGGGGAGGCTGTGAGTATGTGGGCACAGGGATTACATGGGGTATCTGGGTACCTTCCTCTCAATTTTGCTGTGAACCTCTTAAACTGCTCTCCTTCCCTCTCACGGGAGAAAAGTCTGAAAGCAGGATGTGTCCACAGCCCCAGGGATCCAGGTGGATCGTTATTGGCCACCCATTCACTATGAATCCCAAAGGCCTGTGGCGAATACCGATATTTCTCCTAAATTCCAAAACTGTATATGACATCACCCCTGGACCTCTCCCCTTCACCTTGTGCCTCTGGCCCCCGGGGGCCTCAAGAAGGTCTGAAGAATGAATGAGTGGGTAGTGATTTCCACTGCCGGCGTAATGAAGCTTGTTGAATTGATTTGAATTAAATGACCATCATTTTCTCATTGATCACAAGTTGAGTTGAGGACAATTCGCACTTAAATAACACTTTCACAATCATTGAGCCCATCTAAATGCCCTTAATATGCCAGGCGCTATCAAAGTTGATGACAGTTCAGGACTGGAACACTCGGCTTCTCTCGCCTAATCAAAAGTAATTCATTACAGCAGTGGGGGGTGGAGGCCGGCATCATCTAAATCTGAGAGATCAGAGGGACTGGCCCGGAAGTGGGCTGCTTTGAAGCAGGAGTTGGCTAGATACAGGAAACCTCAAGCAATGGAGTATGCAGAGCACAAGGGTGTGAACCAGCCCAGTGTAGGGAATAGGGGTGCTGGGGGGGTGGGGACAGATAAGCAGCACAACTTTATAGTAGAAGACCTAAGAAACCAAGCAAGAAAGGGAGATGATTTACTTTGTGTTTATAAAAGATCAGTCTGTAAGGACACAGGGGATCGTTTTTGTTCCTGAGAGAAGACAGACAGGAGGAGACAGAGAAAAGGGCAGAGCAGTGTGGCCGGAGACCAGGGCCTGAGTTTCAGACGTGGCAGAGGAAGCAGGGGGGCTCCAGTTGTCAATTTTAAGTTGTCTGTGCGGCTCTCTTCCCAACACACCTCCTCAAACACACACACATCTCTGTATGAACAGATTTTTGTTTGGTGTGTATGTACACACATGTGTGTGTGTGTGTACAGATCAAGTAAAAGAACCAAGTACCATGTGGTAATCAGGGCATTGCAAGATGATCCCTAAACAGAATGAATCCCACAGAAGCAAGAGATGAGAGAGAGGCGGCCATGGACTGGAAGTCTCAGGAGAGCCCCGGGCTCTGCCCAGCCCAGGGAACGAGAGGCCAAGTCCACTCAATCTAGAAATGAAGGGGGCGGTAGATGACTCACTGCTAAAACCCAGTGACACTCTCCTCTACAGCCTCTACATAAAAACATGTTCTAGCCCCAGCTGGTTTGGCTCAGTGGATACAGCGTCAGCCTGCGGACTGAAGGATCCCGGGTTTGCTTCCGGTCGGGGGAGCATGCCTGGGTTACAGGCTTGATCCCCAGTGGGAGGCATGCAGGAGGCAGCCAACCAGTGATTCTCTCTCATCATTGATGTTTCTATCTCTCTCTCCTTCTCCCTTCCTCTCTGAAATAAATAAAAATGTATTTTTTAAAAAACATGTTCCATATAAAACCTGAAAACAAAGAGTAAATTAATATTTTTTTTATTTTGCAGGAGAATTTCATGAAAAGAACTGAGTGATAAAACTCAGGGATACCATGGAAACTGGGATAAGAATGGCCACTTCGGTAGACCACCTCTCTCTGGTCAAGAAACAACACCACCTCTCCACCCCCACCTCGATACCTTGTAAATTCACCAGGAGAGGCTGAATACTAGGCTAATACAATTTTGTCCAATTTGAATTTCTCAAATGACTACCTAGCTTTTACTGCCACCTCCTGGCCCTTTCTGGTATGCCTATCCTGAACCACTGATACTAATAGCCACACACATAATACATCAATTATTACATTAAAGAATCCCTGGCCAAGCCCTGGCCAGCATGGCTCAGTTGGTTGAGCATCATCCCCTGCACCAAAAGGTCACCTGTTCAATTCCCAGTCAGGGCACATGCCTGGGTTGCAGGCTTGACCCCCGGGAGTGGGTGTGAAGGAAGCAACGGATTAAAGTTTCTCCCTCACATCGATGTTTCTCTCTCTCTCCCCCCCCCCTTCCTCTCTCTCTCTAAAAACATCAATAAAAATATATATATTTTTTAAAAATAATCTCTGGCCAATGCAAAAATTCTCAACAAAATATTAGCAAACTAGATTCAACAATATATTAAAAGGATTATATATCATGACTAAGTGAGTGGTAAATCCCAGGGATGCAAGGATGGTTCCACATCCATAAATTAGTCAAAGCAATACATCAAATTAACAAAATAAAGGATAAATGCCATATTATCTTCTCAATAGGTACGGAAGTATTTGACAAAACTCAACACCCTTTTGATAAAAACTCTCAGGGTATAGCAGAAACATAATAAAGGCCTTATATGATGAACCCACAGCTGCTATCATACCTGATGGTGAAAAGCTGAAAGCCTTTCTTCTAAGATCAGGAATAAGACAAGGATGCCCACTATCAGCACTTCTATCCAACAAAGTATTCAACACAGTAGCCTCATGTTTTCCTATAAGAAGCCTTTTTCTCTCTAGGTCAGCCACACAGAAAATCAAATTACTCACTCAGAGAGTTGCTTAGTGAGGAAGAAATCAGGGCCAGGGCATTGGCCAGAGGACACAACTATGTATGGCAGCCAGCTCTGAGAGATGGAGGCGTCGGCCCCAGGACAGGGCTATCCTGCCACTGGCCATGACAAAGCAAACTGCTGAACAGAGTGTCCCTTCCCAGTCACTGCTTTAACAGGAATTGTCAGGGCCTGCCTCCTGGTGTTTCCCCGTCTAGTTCTGCTCAAACCACCTCCCCTTCCGGTTGGCAGACTCTCTGCATGAGTGTGATTAAAGCCTCCGGTGAAGCTGCCATCAGACCCGCAGCTCTGACCCACGGTGCCCGACCTAAGAGTCTGCTCTCAGGGACCGGCTGTGTCCTCCCTGTCGCTAAGCTGTTGGAGGCACCCATGGTCGTTTCATGCACTTCCAATAAACAGGTCATGACAATGTCCGTTTGTTGAATGATGAGAAGTTTCCAAAGAGCTTGCCCACGTCACAGGTATTCCTCTCAAGCACCTTTCGGGGTTCTTTGGGCAAATACTATGATCCTCTTTTTACAGAGAAGGACAGAAATTCAGAGATTGTAGGTGGTTTTTCCAAGGTCCCAGAATGAGCGGACAGAGGGTTAAGACTAAAACTCAGATCTCTTCAGACCCCAGGTGAGTGTACTGAGGGCACCTGCTCTTCCCAGTGAACACAACGGAACTTGCCTGACTGCCTGTATTATTCGTATATGACAATTATTCACAGAGTGTCAATTAGCAGCTGTGTCATGTCTGGGTGCCGGGACACCATGATGGCCAATTTAAATAAGGCTGCTACTTCCATGGGACGTATATTCAACCGTGAGAGACAGGCAACTGCAGCTGGCGCCGAGCCCCGTGTGGAGGACAGAACAGGTGACATCAAGTGCTGGCTGGCTCTTTCTGTTTGAGTCACCAGGGGAAGCTTGTCTTAGGAAAAGGCATTGAAGCTGAGATGGGAAAGACAAGTTGTCACACGACGATGAAGAGGAAGAGCCCTCCTGCGGGAAGGGACAGCTAACGAGGAAGGGCAGAGGGCAAAGGGGTGGTGGCAGGAGACGCGTCAGGGCAGTGGGTACCTCCTGGCGTTTTGTTATGGAGGATCAGCCGGGTTTTACTCGAGTACCGGGTACCGTGGGAAGCCATCACTGCTACAGAACTGGGCTGCCTTTCAGTAAGTCACAGCGCTCTCCACCAGCCTCTACACCCCCGAATCCCCGAGTCTGAGCCTCAGTCGGCCCACGGTGGCCAGTGCACCGCGCTTCCAGTCCTGTGCGAAGAGACAGTATGTCCATAATCTGGTAAGAAGTACCTGAAAAGCTCAGAACACAATTTGTCATGAGGGAGGAGGAAGGTTTGTCCTGTCTGAAAACCCATATCCCTAAGTGGTAGGTTTATAGCCCCAGCACTGGCGCAAACCAAGCTGCAGGCGGCGCTGGCTGTCTCTTGGAAGAGCTCAGTTGGAAATGCTGGAGACGAGGCCAGGCTCCAGCCCACACCCACCTGACAGCAGCGTCTCCCTCAGGCCCATCCTGCTCCCCCACAGTTCACTGCTCATATGGCAGCTGACAGCTGCTTTCTCCGAACACAGACACAAAACCCACAGCCGTCCTATGGCAAAGGGATGTTTAAAAAAACCACAAGGCAGGGAGCAGCGAAGGAGGATCAGGAGAAGAGAATGATGGCCCGAAGGTGGGGGGTGCACGCCTTCTAAACAGAAATCCGCTGACTGAAAACACAGTCCTCACACCCACTCTCTAACTCCGCTGACACTAGGAATGAAAAATGGCCCTCAAGTCCGGTTTGGCAATAA